CGATGGCAGGAGCCAGGAGCCAGGTGCTTTTCCTGGTCTCCCATGCGGGTGCAGGGCCCAAGCACTTGGGCCATCCTCCACTGCACTCCCTGGCCACAGCAGAGAGCTGGCCTGGAAGAGGGGCAACTGGGACAGAATCCGGCGCCCCGACCGGGACTAGAACCTGGTGTGCCGGCGCCTCTAGGCGGAGGATTAGCCTAGTGAGCCGCGGCGCTGGCCCCTCTTCCCTCTCTTATTGCCACTCTTATATTTAACAGTGATCACTTTTCAGTTAAGTTTCAACACTTGAGAATAACTGTGTATTGATTACAGTATTCAACCAAAAGTATTAAGTGGAACAAATAACCAAAAAAATACTAAGAGTGATAAAGTATTAAGTTGTTCATCAACAGTCAGGGCAAGGGCTGATCAAGTCACCGTTTCTCATAGTGTTCATTTCCCTTTATCAGGTTTCCTTTTTGGTGCTCAGTAAGTTGTCACCGATCAGGGAGAACATATGGTATTTGTCCCTTTGAGACTGGCTTATTTCACTCAGCATAATGCTTTCCAAATTCCTAACAGGGATCACTTTTCATTTAAAATTTAAACACCTAAGAATAATTGTGTGTTACTTTATCCATTTTAGTATTTTTTTTGTTCTAGTACTATTGGTTGAACTCTGTAATTAAAACAAGGGATTCTTTTAGGTCCTCCCTTATAAGCTCTGTCTTTGATTTGAGAATATAGGTCTTTGGCCTCATCATGTAAGTTCTACAGTATAGTTAAGTACAGCTGTTCCACTGCTTAGTCCTTGATGTACTTGTAGTCATCATCACAGCAGTCACTTGGTTCCCCTGCACATTTATGTAAGTAGGGAAGTTCATCACAATCAACACTGAGTGGTAATTTAATTAATTGTGATGTTACTATATGCCCATTCACCATTGGATGGGAGTTTAGCAGTGTCTTTGAGGCCATGGATGTTCCCAAACAAGTCTCAGATTCAAATTTCTCCTGTTGGGATCACCCCAGGTATCAAGTCATCCTGTATCTGTCAAGATCCAGTTCAGAAAAGAAGAGAAGTTATTGTAGGAAATATTTGTAAAGGTATTAGACAACTGAACATATAAAAAGAGAACACTGAAGGCCGTGGAGGTAGGATTTCCCAGGGGGATGGGGTTATTATAACCTAGATGCTTTTAAGAAAATGGGCCTCAGAGATCTAGATCTGGAATGTGGAGAACAGAACATTTCTTAGATGGTGCTGGTAAGTTAGGAACTTAGGAAAGGGGTGCTGTGGAACTGATAGCTGGACCTCTTAATAATGCCGAGGTAGTAGGTACCTTAGAGACTTGGAAGGAGGTCCCCTAAAAACTGTGGCTTTCATTTTGGAGGGAGGGTACTATATACTTGATGCCATTTGTGGCATGGTCTGATACTCATAAACCTTGTAGTAGAACATCTGAGAAAGGGGCATTGTCAGGCTGGTGTTGGTTGCCTGGGGAACTGGAGAATGGTCTAGTCTGTCTAGTTCTATTGGTTCTTTTAATGGTAAGCCTATTGGTACTTTTTTGAAGGGGCTAGGTGGCTCTGGCTTTATGTATATGGTGTAAGCCAAATGTTACCACCAGAGCAAAGAACCATTGCTGGGATATACAGAGGGCAACAGCAAACAAATAGGAAGTAGCAAGTCTCCTGTTTGCTCTTTTTGTCTTTTAGCCTCCGTCTAATGCCCTTCTGGGCAAACTTTTAAGAATTGATTAATTTGAGAGGCAGAGAGACAGAGAGACAGAGACAGAGAGAGAGAGAGAGAAAGAGAATTCCCTCATCTCTTGGTTCACTACTTACTTGCTCGCAACATCCAGGACTAAAATGGATGAAGCTGGGAGTAAGGACCTCATTTGAGGTCTCCCACATGGCTGGGAGGAACCCAGCTTTAGCCATCATTGCTGCCTTCCAAGGTCTGCGTTAGCAGAAAACTGGAATCAGGACTTGGAGAATGCAATTAAACTTAGGTACTCTGATGTGCACATCTTATAAAGCAGGCTACATGCCTGCTCTTAGGCAAGATTTATTAGGAAGCCAGTTCATGGTAGAGAAATATAATGAGCAGAATGCTACCTCAGCTTCACAGACCAAGTGTGAATACTAGATTTGGAGTTTAAAAATAATTGTTAATCTGTAAAAGAACTGTTAGCATGATCATAAGTACTAGTAAGTGATACTCCTCTGTGTGAATCCCTCCTACTACATTGTATTTAATGTACTTGCGCTTCACTAAGTTGATTCCATGACATAGTGTGATTTGTGACCCGAAGTTGAGGAATACTGAAGAGTTGACACTGTGTGAGTGGAAACATGGTTAGAGAAGGTTTGGAGGAGTTTTAAATAAAAGAATTGAAGACTTGCTGAGGAAGTCCCAGTGAAGTGAAACTAGTTCACATAATTATTTGGAGTGCTATGTTCTTTTAGGATTGTGCTTGGAGTGATGCATTGGTGACAAAGACTGATCTGTCGCAAAGATGCTTTACAACAAATTTTCAATTGTAAATTCAACATATTTCTGACAATATTTAATGTAGGTTATTATATTTTTGTAAGTTCTGTTCTTTAATAACACTCTCCCAGTTAATCTGTTTGCATCTTAATATTCAAACAGTATGACAAATACAAAGGCTATGTTGAAGAGAGACACGGAGTGGAAGACTGGTGTTAGGATTTCACCTATATTAATTAGAGTTATTTTCCCTGAAGGTTTCATCCATGATCCTATTTCCCTCTTGTGGCATCTGGTAGCTACCTATTAGTTTTGGAATCCACTCAGACTTATTCCTGCTTTCTTGACATCATAATGCTAAGGACATTTGCTCATACCCTGTTACAGTTGATGTATGTCTGTATTCACAAAATTCAGGCCACCAGTATGTGTTTACAGATTTGTGGTTTTTTCTTTTTAACATTTTATTTTGGAATACTGTTAAATTTACAAAGCAAAAATGGTGAAGTATTAGTGCAAAAAGTTCCCATATACCCCACAACTCTGTTCCCATATTATTAACATCTCATATTAGTAACTTGTCACAGTTAATGAACCACTTAGCTATCCTATTTTTTTAAAAGATTTATTTATTTGAAAGGCAAAAGGCAGAGTTACAGAGAGAGAGAGAGAGAGAGAGAGAGAGAGGTCTTCCATCCACTGGTTCACTCCCCAAATGGCCACAATAGCTGGAGCTGGGCCTATCCGAAGCCAGGAACCAGGAGATTCTTCTGGGTCTGGGTCTCGAACTGGCTCCCATATGGGATGCTGGCATACCACATAAGTGGCCCCTACCCTATTTATTTTAGATTTATTTATTTATTTTGATGTCAGAGTTACACATAGAGAGAAGGAGAGGCAGAAAGAGAGAGGGAGAGTGATCTTCCCTTCACTGGTTGACTCCCCAATTGGCCACAATGGCCGGAGCTGCGCCAATCCAAAACCAGGAGCCAGGAGCTTCCTCCGGGTCTCCCATGTGGGTGCAGGGCCCAAGCACTTGGGCCATTTTCCACTGCTTTCCCAGGCCATAGCAGAGAGTTGGATTGGAAGTGGAGGAGCTGGGACTTGAACTGGTGCCCATATGGGATGCCGGCACTGCAGGCGGTGGCTTTACCCGCTATGCCACAGCACCGGCCCCTACCCTATTTTTTTAAAATACAAATTCCTTCTACCTCTCCCATCTCTGCCAGCTGTAGTAATCAAGTAATCTATATTTTGTATTCAGATTGAGGCTTTTTTTTCTTTTCCTCCCAAATAGGAGAGAGACAATTGGTATTTGTCCTTCTGTGTCTGGCTTATTTTACTCACTGTGGTGTCCTCTAGTTTCATAAATTTTGCTGTAAATGACAGGATTTTTTTCTTTCGTATGGGTAAATAGTATTGCATCATGAATATATGTACCACCTTTTCTCAAAAATTATTTTAATTTTTATTTCAAATATTAATTTATTAATGATACTAGGTAAAAGTGGTGAGTGACCAAAATTAGCTTTTACCTGAGCCAAAATTTATATTTTAAACACTAATGAGGTTCTAATTCCACACCAGTTGTGGTCTTCTGAACATGTTGATGAATACATATAGTGAATGCTCATGTATTTGCCATTCACTTTAGACAATTATCCACCTATTACCAAACTTCTTTATCCAAATGGTACCTCTCTCTTATATGTGTGTGTCTGTGTGTGTGTGTGTGTGTGTGTGTATAAGATAAAAGGCGCTGGAATCTAATACAATATACATATATACATATAATATTTATTAGAATCCGGTTCCTTTTATTTTTTTCAAATGTGATCCCAATTCAAGAATCACTGTAGCCTCACTTTCTTCTTTCTTTTTCCCACCCTTCCTACCTCCCTCCAACCCTTTCCCAGCTCCTCATTTTATTCTCACTTTTAGCACTGCAGCATTGATGATCCACCTCTGCCTGGACACAGATCCGTAAAGGTCAGCCTGGGACCCTGAACAGCTCAGAGGGAGGAGTCAGTCTGGAAGTTCCTGCCCTCTTTAGCCCCAAACACATGGCTGCATAACGACTGCTCCATAATGACAGTGGGTGGGACCCTGATATATACCAGGATCACTCTTCCACTGCTCTTGCTTGGGGTATCTCTGTCCATTCATGGCCTCTCCCAAGCCAGGCCCTCTCAGCATTTCAGCTCCCCGGAAGTGGTGATCCCCTCGAAGGTGACCAGCAGGGGTAGAGGTGCAAAGGCTCCAGGATGGCTCTCCTACCGCCTGCGGATTGGGGGCCAGAGGCACATTGTCCACATGAGGGTCAAGAGGCTGTTGGTTTCCACACACCTCCCTGTGTTCACCTACACAGAGCAGCATGGCCTCCAGGAGGATCATCCCTTTGTCCTTGATGATTGTTACTATCATGGTTACGTGGAGGGGGCCTCCGAGTCTCTGGTTGCCCTCAGCAGCTGTTCTGGAGGTTTTCAAGGAATGCTACAGATAAATGACCTCATTTATGAAATCAAACCCATCAGGCACTCTTCCACATTTGAGCACCTGGTGTATCAGGTAGGCAGTGATAAGACAGAGTCCCCACACATGAGATGTGGGTTGACAGAAGCATCAATAACACGCCAAAAGGAGTTGCATGCATCATATAATTCTACTCTGAAACAAAGTTCTAATGTGGGCTGGTGGACTCACTGGAGATTTGTTGAGCTGGGAGTGGTTGTAGACCATGTTAGATTTCTTTATTCCCAAAGTAATGTGTCAGTAGTGTACAATGAAGTATCTCACGTTATCAATATAGTGGATGAATTTTATTACCTTATGCAAGTTGATATAACATTGATTGGTATTGAGATCTGGAATAAAAGAAATCCTATTTCTACAAGTAATGATCTAGGGGAAGTTTTGTGGGATTTTGCTGTTTGGAAGGATTCACATCTCGAATCCCGTCTTCACCATGATGCTGCACATCTTTTCATAAAAGAAGTACATGACCAAACAGTTGGTATGGCCTTTATTACAGGGATATGTGATCCCCCTTTTAACTGTGCAGTTAGTGTTTTTGAAAGCCAAGACTTATTTCTTTGTGCACTTACTGTGGCCCATGAACTTGGTCATAATTTGGGTATGAATCATGATGATCAGTGGTGCGCATGCGAAGTAGAGTGGTGCCTAATGTATGCCTACAGAGAGAACACAACTAAATTCAGTAATTGCAGTTATGCGCAATATTATGATACTACCAGGAATCCTGGAATGTGTATTCACTCTCCTCCATATACAGGGTATGTCTCTGGGTTGAAGTTCTGTGGGAACAGGGTGGTCGAAGAAGGAGAGGAGTGCGACTGTGGATCTGTACATCAGTGTGAACGTGATCCCTGTTGTCTTTTGGACTGTGCTCTGAGGCCTGGCGCTGCTTGTGCTTCTGGCAGTTGTTGCAAAGACTGCAAATTCTTGCCACCAGGGACTTTATGTAGACAGCAGGTCAGTGAATGTGACCTTCCAGAGTGGTGCAATGGGACATCACACGAGTGCCCGGATGATGTATATATACAGGATGGCACCCCCTGTATGGGTGGTGCCTCCTGCTATGCAAAGACATGTAATAACCCTGATGTTCAGTGCAAGGAGATTTTTGGCCGAGAGGCAAGGAGTGCGTCTGAGATTTGCTACAGTGAAGTGAACACCCAAGGAAATCGTTTTGGCCACTGCGGTATCGTAGAAACAACATATGTAAAATGTATGGCTCCTGATATCATGTGTGGGAGAATTCAGTGTGAAAACGTCCACAAAGTTCCCAATCTGAAGGAACACTCTACCGTGCACCAGTATCACTTCAATGATACCACTTGCTGGGGCACTGATTATCACTTAGGGATGTCCATACCTGACATTGGTGAGGTGAAAGATGGCACGGTGTGCGCTCCAGGAAAGATCTGCATTGGCAGGAAATGTGCCAGTGTGAATCCTGTGCCACAAAACTGCGAGCCCCTGCATTGCAGCCTGAGAGGAGTCTGCAATAACAGACAGCACTGCCACTGTCGCCACGGGTGGGCACCTCCCAACTGCAGCTATGAAGGCCATGGAGGGAGCGTGGATAGCGGTCCACCTCCTACAAACAGGAGGGAAGGATTAAGCGTGGTAGGAAATGTGGGTTACACTTCGGCATTACTTGCGATTCCTTTGATAACTCTTCTTTTCTATTACTTCACTGTACTTTCCAAGAAAGAGAAACACACACACACACAAGTTGAGAACAAAGAAGAAGAAAATGAAGCAAAGGGAACAGAAGAAAATAGAGTGGAAGAAAACAGGGTGGAATAACAGAGAATGAAGAAGAGGGAGCAGAAGAAAAGGAAGAGGAAGTGGAAGCCAGAGGCTGATGCTTCCTTTAAAAGGATCTCTAATTTTTGTTTTCATAGTGGAGAAGCTGGATGTGGCTGTTTAACCAGAAATTTAATGCTCTCGTGCCAGGACCATAAGTGTTAGACATCACAGCACAGGACTCCTGCATGTTCCTACTTGCTTTTCAGTGTTTAACACAACATTAAATGTTCACTTTGTTTCTTGAACAAAGTTGTCTCACTATGTTTCTTGAACAAAGGCCTAGAGAAACCACACTTTAAAGCTGCATGCTTTCTCTCTCTCAGTTCTAAACCTCCTCTCATGTCTTCACTCAGTTTCTGGGCATGTGTGTCCACAAGACTCACTTCTGTTTGGCACAGTTGGCTGTGGACAAGGGGAAGGAAGAAGTAACCTAAATGACAAGTGGTAGGAAAAGAGAGATTTCTTTCCTTTGTACTTAACATTTCTGACAGCATCATTTTTAGCTGAGGCCATTCAGTTTGGAATCCATTTGTATGGGAATCCATTTGTATGGTCACTGCTGGAACCCCCCACCCCACCCTATTCTTCCTTAGAAATACCGACAGCAGTTGATACTCTCAGTGTCCATGTTGCACATTGGATTAGCTGGGTGTTCCTCCTGTTAGTTCCTGAAGCTCCAGTACCAGCTGGTCTCCATGCTCTCCTTGGAGATCTCAGCCCCTCTTTTTCAGGGACTTCCTGTAATCAGCTATGCTCTAATGTACACAGTCTCGTCCCTCTGTTCTACTGACCCTAGAGATGTTGGGGCTTTCTGTAGTTACTCTCTGGCTGTGTTAAATTGTGGTTTCCTAAGCATACACTGAGTTGGAGTTTAGAGTGAGGGTTACGTTAGACATCACAGCTGTGTAAAAGAGGGAAAGGAATTCAGTGGTACAGTTGAAAATTGAGCTAAATTGCTGCCTTGGCCAGTCAGGCAGTGAAATGTTGTATAACAGAGTTGTCTGGTTTGGGCCAAGGGGGTCTGCTCCTCACACCCTCTCCTTGGTCAGTCAGTGGGTGTGGCTGCCCTGGGAAGGGACAAATGTCTGTAACTGAAGCTGAAGAACACCTGAAGTCTGGAGACTTGTCTGCTTATGGGGAGCTCTGCCACTGATCAGCAAGAGCTTCAGGAAAGTGGATCCAGGTGGCTTATTCCACAGTGCAGTATTTGCACAGCACTGATTCACTTTTGAATTTATGTTCTGTCAGCAACTCGTAGATGATTCTGGGGGGCCCCTCTTCCTGTGGGGACATTAAACGAGGGAAGTTGATTATGAGCCATGTCTCCATGCTGTGCTTGGTTGTGGAGATGAAAGTATACTTAGTGTCTATCTGTTTCACTCTACTCTCATTTCCCTCTCTCAGCTGGTGAGTATTCTGATGGCTTTGGATGCTTACCATGTGTCGTGATGCAGGACCTTATCGCCAACCTGAGCATCTAGTCACCATGCCCTTCTAGGCTGAGGTTGCTGATTTTATCCATTTAGAGCCACCACTGGGCTAGGGAGTACTGAATGGTTCCTGGGGAGATCACCTGGATTTTATGTGTACACCCTGTTGTGCCCATCTTATAACAGCAGTACTGCCTCCTGTTGATGATTACTGTCAATCACCCCTTTCAAGGATGTGACCCTTCTTTTGGTATCTGATTTAAAGACACAGTGAGTTCAGAATTCCCTGGTGTCAATGTTTGTGTATAATAAGGCATTATGACTTTCAATTAGCCCCTGTTTAAAAATATGACTCCTTGTAGGGCCAGAACCTCCAACCGTGTATAGCCCAGAATTACATAGGGGCAGGTAGCACCCACTATCTCAATGCATCTTTGGGAGTTGTGGTGAATGCTCTTTCTTTGTACACTCTTTTAGGGTTCTGATTCAGTGCATACAATTCATCATTAGATCAAGTGATTCAGCTTTAGCTTCAGCTGCACCTTCAGTATATGTTTCCAATGCTTTATTGGGCTGGGATATCCTGTATTATTTTATCTGAGCTATAACTTTTATACCACAGTCTTGTACAATTCCATTGCTGTAAAGTTGGTACCCTGCTCTGGTATGGTATTACACAGGAACACCAGATAGCTGGATGAGATATTCCAAATGCCTTTGGCTATTACTGGTGCTTATTGAGGCTCAGTGTTACACCTGTAGTGAGGTGAGGCACATTTACCACCAGAATTTGTGTGTTCTGCTGTAGGGATGCTGGCCTTTCCAGAATGATAGGGTCCTAATGGATTCAATTTCCTACTAAGTGTTTCTCAAGGAAGGGTTCCAAATCTGGGGTCAGACAGGCCATCATTGCTGTTTGGCTGGACACTCAAAGCAGAAGTGGCTAGATTTGTCTTAGTATGTAGTAATCCATGTAGAGGCAGTCCTGAGTAGTCCAGTCCCTGACCATTCTTTGATACAGGATCTACTCTTACCAACACTGAGTGGCCTGTGCCAAGGATGGCTGATGCCAGTTGCTGGGCTGTTTTGTCTATGTCATTTATTGCATCTTCCACACAGGATCCTTTTTGTTGAGCATCAACATGTGATTCAGTGGTCTTTCACACTTACATTCCATGTAAGTATGTTTCTACCCTACTTCTCCTGGTCCCCCATCTTCCAAGAATTATTGTTGCAGTCACCTGTACCACTGGCCTGACCATTTGCTATTTCCCATTATTGTATATATGATCCTGTTGGACCTCGTCAATCCCCCCAAAGTTAGACAGCTACTTATACAACCCAAGTTCAGTACATTTGGAGTATTTCCCCTCACAGTTCTTCCTATCCAGCTCCTCTATTGAGAAAAACTGTGTCTTAAAACTGCTTGCAGCTTTAGGCTTGTTCACAAATGATGCACTGACATGTCCATGACTCCAGGATGAGCTGTTCCATCTTCTCCTTCAGCTGGTTATGTGGGATTCCTGTTTTTGCATCAAGAAGTTTGAGCTGAAGGAGGAGTATCAGTGCTGTGGAATTTGACTTACCTGCTCAGATACCTGTGCATTTGGGTTCTCTTATATTTGAGTTGGAATTTGCCACTTACCATTTTTTCTTTATTATTGGCTCCAAACCTCATGATGTGAAGGGATTGACAGAACCCTTTTGTGATGGACAATTTTAGGTCCCATTCTGTGGTTCACAGAATTCTCAGATGCTTCCCCTTAGTTCCTATGTTCTTGGAACCTGTATGTAACCCATTCCCATGTACCTTGATGGGATCCGTATCTTGCATCTTACAGAGTATATGGCAAATGTGATGTGATTTTCAGGTGTAATTAATATACTGCTAGTTAATTTCAGTTAATTAAAGGTAGATTTGCCTAAGTGGCCTTGAGCTACCAGGTAGGTAAGTCCTTTAAAGAATATCTAGAGGTGAGACTTGAAGCAATCATGTTTCGTTCTTTCTGGCTGTGCAGCAGCCAGCTGCCATGAGTTCTACAGCTGCAACGAATTGAAGTCTGAGTATTCTTGGAAGCAAATCTTCCCTCAAGTGTCCTTTGATGCCAATGAAGCTCAGGTGACATCTTACTTGTTGTCAAGTGCCTATTTCTCTAGGCCATGCCCACAGTTCTTTCCCATTGAACTTGTGAGATAATAAATATGTGTTGTTTTAAGCTGCTGAGTTTGTGGTAATTTGTTTTATGATATAGAAAACAAATCCACTTCCAACACATGACACATTTCATTTGTTTTTTACCACTTTACCAGTACCACACCATCCCATGTGATGACAAACGACAGTTTAAAAAAGTATTTTTAAGCATTTGATGTGGCGAGTGGGAAGGGGAGAGGGAGAGCTCCCAGGTGCTTATTCTCCAAATGCCTACATCAGTGGCTACTTGCCTGGCCGAAGCCAGCAACAGGAGACTAAATCCATGACTCCCAGTGTGTGTGTCAGGAGCAAGGTTACATGAGACATCAGTGCTGCTTGCCATTGTCTGCATTAGCTTAAAGCAGGAGTCTCAACCTGGAGCCTGCACTTCAACCCAGGTACTCTGATGCACCATTTTAGCCATTAGGCTAAACACTAGCTCTTAGCTAAGCTGTTTAGGCATGCAGACCATTTGGAGAAAAATAATGTGCAGATTGACATCCCCAGTGTCACAGACCAAATATGAATTTTAAATTAGGGGTTCGAAATTGTTAATCAATGTATGAACTGTTAGCCATATGGTGCTGTTAGCTCCTTGGTGACAGGTAGAGGCAAGTGACAGTCCTCTGTGTGAAGCCCTGTTTATACTGTTCTCTGTTTCATGTGCTACTTGGTGCACTAATTCGATTTTGTGAACCAATGTGCTCTGTGAACTGAGTTTGAGAAATGCTGAGTTAAGTTGATGTCAAGTGAGTGCAGACATGGTAAGAGAGTGTTTTGAGGAATTTGAAATAGCTGAATTCCTTACTGTTGCAGAGGAAGAATCTCACAGTGGTTGGAGTTCAGTCATGTCAAAGGAAGGGCTGTGAAATTATGAAATCATGAAATTATTTGGATTGAAATGTTCTTTCAGGTTTGTCCTTGGAATGATTTATTGGTGACAAAGATCTTTTGCAATGCTTTTCTATTATGACCTCTTCATATGGGTCTTAATTGTCTCCCAATTCTTTTGTTCTCATTTTTTTTCTTATTTAAAAGAGTTATAGAACAGAAAAAGAGACAGGTCTTTCATCTGCTGAATCTCCCTAGGCCACAACAGACAGGACTGGTGCAGGCCTAAGCCCAGATCCAGGAATTTCATTTGGGTATCCCTTGTGGGTGACAGAGGCCCAGAACTTGAGCCATCACCTGCTGCTTTTCCCAGGTCATTAGTGGGGTGCTGGATCAGAAGTGGAGCAGCCAGGATACAAACTGGTGTCCATATGGGATACTGGCCTTGCAGGCTGTGGCTATATCTGCTAAGCTACAATGCTACCCCCTGGCCCCTTCCACATCAACATCCTAAATGGTATGACATATATGAAGGATATGATGAAGATACACAAGAAAAAAATTGGTGTTTAGAATTTGCCTAATTAGAGATGCTTTCCCTGAGATGTCCTTGAGTAATCCTGTTTTCTTCCTGCAGCACCCGATAGCCACTCATTAGTTTTGGAACCCTAACCAGGCTTGCCCTTGCTTTCTTGACAGACAATATAATGCTAAACATTGTTCATAGTCTATGTAGCTAATGCCATTTCTATCTACAATCATAATATTGTGGCCACCAGGGTATATAACAATATGTCTCAAATTTGTTTTAACTTTGTATTTAAAAAAGTGAACATTTTAAAATTTTATTTTAAAGATTTATTTATTTATTTGAGAGGGAGGGAGGGAGGGAAGGAGAGAGAGAGAAAGAAAGAGAGAGCGATTTTCCTTCCACGGATTCACTCCCCAAATAATTGCAATGGGCGGAGCTGGGCCACTTTGAAGCCAGGAGCCATCAGGAGCTTCTTCTGAGTCTCCCATGTTGGTGCAGGGGCCCAAGAACGTGGACCATCTTCCACTGCTTTCCCACGTGATTAGCAGGGAGCTGGATCAGAAGTGGAGCAGCCGGGACTTGAACTGGTGCCCACAGAGGAGTCACCTACTAAACCACAGCACCAGCCCCCAAAATGTGAACTTTTAATTCAAAGAGTTGACAAAATAGCTTTTTTAGTTGTAATACTGAGATTATTTAGATTTTTAAAATTTTAAATGTTTTAAATTTATTTGTTTAAGGTGAACAAATTTCATGTATTTCATACGCACAGATTTAGGAGCATAATGATACTTTTCACCCCACCCTCGCTCCTGCCCATGCTCCCACCCATACTACTCCTTCCTTTTTTCTTTTTCTTTTTATTTTACCTAGAAACTTTTTACTTAAGGTATACAAACTTCATGCATTTAATATATACAGATTTAGGAACATAGTGATACTTCTCACCTTAACCTTCCCTCCCGCCCACACTCCCACCCTTCTGCCTCCTCCCTCTTCTATTACCATTCTTATTTTTTTTAAGATTTATTTATGTATGTATTTGAAAGTCAGTTATACAGAGAGAGAGGGAGAGAGAGAGAGTGCGCGAGAAGAGGAGAGGAGCGAGAGTGGTGTCTTCCATCTACTGGTTCACTTCCCAGATGGCCTCAACAGCTGGAGCTCAGCTGATTCAGAGCCAGGATCCAGGAGCTTTTTCCGGGTCTCCCACATGGGTGCAGGGGCCCAAGGACTTGTGTCATCTTCTATTGCTTCCCCAGGCCATAGCAGAGAGCTGGATTGGAAGTGGAACAGCTGGGACTTGAACCAGCACCCATATAGGATGCCAGCACTGCAGGCAGTGGCTTTACCTGTTATGCCACAGCACCAGCCCCAAAAGCAAGGAGGAGTCCCATTCTTATTTATTTTTTTACAAAGACCTACTTTCAATTAACTTTATATGCATAGGATAAACCCTATGCTAAGAGTTCAACAAATAGTATGAAAAAAAAAAAAAAAAACCTGTTCCTCAACAATTGAGATAAGGACTGTTAAAAATCCTGGTATCTCAGAGTGTCAGTTTCAATTGCATAGATTATGTTTTAGGTACTCTATCAGGGAGAACATATGATATTTGTCTTTTTGGGACTAGCTTATTTCATTTAGTATAGTGGTTTCAAGTTGCATCCATTTTGTTGCAGATGTCAGGATTTCATTTTTTTTACCACCATGTAGTATTCCATGGTGTACATATACCATAATTTCTTGATCCAGTCTATTTGATGGACATCTTGGTTGATTCCATATCTTAGCTATTGTGAATTAAACAGCAATAAATATGGAGGTACAGACAACTCTTTCGTATGCTGATTTCATTTCCTTTGGGTAAATTTCCAGGAGTGGAATGGCTGGGTCATATGGTAGATCTATATTCAGATTTCTGAGCTGTCTCCATACTGTCTTCCACAGTGGCTGTACCAGTTTATGTTTCTACCAACAGTGGTTTAGAATAACTTTTTCCACACATACTCACCAGCATTTGTTGTTTGCTGATTTTTGTATGAAAGCCATTCTAACTGGGATGAGGTAAAACCTTGTTGTGGGTTTATTTGCATTTCCTTGGTCACTAGTGGTCCAGAGCATTTTTTCCTGTTGTCTGTTGGCCATTTGCATTTCCTCTCTTGAAAAATGCCTTTTTAAGTCCTGTGCTTATTTCTTAAATGAACTGTTTGGTGGTTGTTATTGTTGTTGAATTTTTTGAGCTCTTTATAGATTCTAGATTTTTTTAAACTTTTATTTAGTAAATATAAATTTCCAAAGTACCGTTTATGGATTACAATGGCACCCCCCCCATAACTTCCCTCCTACTCGCACCCCTCCCATCTCCCGCTCCCTCTCCCATTCCATTCACATCAAGATTCATTTTCAATTATCTTTATATACAGAAGATCAATTTAGTATATAAGAGTAAAGATTTCATCAGTTTGCACCCACACAGAAACACAAAGTGTGAAATACTGTTTCAGTACTAGTTATAGCATTACTTCACATTGGACAACACATTTGGGACAGATCCCACATGAGGAGTAAGTACACAGTGACTCCTGTTGTTGACTTAACAATTTGACACTCTTGTTTATGGCGTCAGTAATCTCCCCAGGCTCTAGTCATGAGTTGCTAAGGCTATGGAAGCCTTTTGAGTTCGCTGACTTCGATCTTATTCCAACAGGGTCGTAGTCAAAGTGGAAGTTCTCTCCTCTCTTCAGAGAAAGGTACCTCCTTCTTTGATGGCCTTGTTCTTTCCACTGGGATCTCACTCACAGAGATCTTTCATTTAGGTTTTTTTTTCTTTTTTTTACCAGAGTGTCTTGGCTTTCCATGCCTAAAATACTCTCATGTGCTCTTCAGCCAGATCCGAATGCCTTAAGGGCTGATTCTGAGGCCAGAGTGCTACTTAGGACCACTGCCATTCTATGAAACTGCTGTGTATCCCGTTTCCCATGTTGGATCGTTCTCTCCCTTTTTGATTCTATCAGTTAGTATTAGCAGACACTAGACTTGTTTGTGTGATCCCTTTGACTCTTAGACCTATCAGTGTGATCAATTGTGAACTGAAATTGATCACTTGGACTAGTGAGATGGCATTGGTACATGCCACCTTGATGGGATTGTATTGGAATCCCCTGGCACGTTTCTAACTCCACCATTTGGGGCAAGTCCAATTGAGGATGTCCCAAATTGTACATCTCCTCCCTCTCTTATTCCCACTCTTATATTTAACAGGGATCACTTTTCAGTTAAATTTCAACACCTAAGAATAATTGTGTGTTAATTACAGAGTTCAACCAATAGTATTAGAACAAAAAAATACTAAAAGGGATAAAGTATTATATTGTATATCAACAGTCAGGACAAGGGCTGATCAAGTCACTGTTTCTCATAGTGTCCATTTCACTTCAACAGGTTTCCCCTTGGTGCTCAGATAGTTGTCGCCGATCAGGGAGAATATGATATTTGTCCTTTTGGGACTGGCTTAATTCACTCAGCATGATGTGTTCCAGATTCCTCCATTTTGTTGCAAATGACTGGATTTCATTGTTTTTGACTGCTGTATAGTATTCTATAGAGTACATGTCCCATAATTTCTTTATCCAGTCTACTGTTGATGGGCATTTGGGTTGGTTCCAGGTCTTAGCTATTGTGAATTGAGCTGCAGTAAACATTAATGTGCAGACCGCTTTTTTTGTTTGCCAATTTAATTTCCTTTGGATAAATTCCAAGTAGTGGAATGGCTGGGTTGTATGGTAGGGTTATCTTCAGCTTTCTGAGGAATCTCCAGACTGACTTCCATAGTGGCTTAACCAGTTTGCAATCCCACCAACAGTGGGTTAGTGTCCCTTTTTCCCCACATCCTCTCCAGCCTCTGTTGTTGGTAGATTTCTGCATGTGAGCCATTCTAACTGGGGTGAGGTAAAACCTCATTGTGGTTTTGATTTGCATTTCCCTGATTGCTAGTGATCCTGAACATTTTTTCATGTGTCTGTTGGCCATTTGGATTTCCTCTTTCTAAAAATATCTATTGAGGACCTTGGCCCGTCTCTTAAGTGGGTTATTTGTTTTGTTTTTGTGGAGTTTCTTGATTTCTTTGAAGATTCTGGTTATCAACCCTTTATCTGTTGCGTAGTTTGCAAATATTTTTTCCCATTCTGTCAGTTGCCTCTTCACTTTCCTGACTGTTTCTTTTGAAGTACAGAAACTTCTCAATTTGATGCAATCCCAAATGTTAATTTTGGCTTTGACTGCCTGTGCTTCTGGGGTGTTTTCTAAGAAGTCTTTGCTGGTACCTATATCTTGCAGGGTTTCTCCAATGTTCTCTAATAATTTGATGGTGTCGGGTCATAGATTTAAGTCTTTAATCCATGTTGAGTGGATTTTTGAGTAAGGTGAAAGATAGGGGTCTTGTTTCATGCTTCTGCACGTGGAAATCCAGTTTTCCCAGCACTATTTATTGAATAGACTGTCCTTACGCCAGGGATTGGTTTTGGATCGCTGATTAAATATAAGTTGGCTGTAGATTTTTGGGTTGATTTCTGGTGTTTCTATCCTGTTACATTGGTCTATCCATCTGTTTCTGTACCAGTACCATGCTGTTTTGATTACAACTGCCCTGTAGTATGTCCTGAAATATCTGGTATTTTGATGCCTCTGGCTTTGCTTTTGTTGTACAAGATTTCTTTAGCTATTTGAGGTCGCCTGTGTCTCCATATGAATTTCAGCATCACTTTTTCCAGATCTGAGAAGAATGTCTTTGGTATCTTGATTGGGATTGCATTGAATCTGTAAATTGCTTTTGGGAGAATGGACATTTTGATGATATTGATTCTTCCATCCATGAGCATGGGAGATTTTTCCATTTTTTGGTATCTTCTTCTATTTCTTTCTTTTAAGGTTTTGTAATTTTCATCATAGAGACCTTTAACGTCCTTGGTTAAGTTTATTCCAAGGCATTTGATTGTTTTTGTAGCTATTGTTAATGGGATTGATCTTAGCAGTTCTTTCTCAGCTGTGGCATTGCCTATGTATACAAAGGCTGTTGATCTTTGTGCATTGATTTTATACCCTGCTACTTTGCCAAAATCTTCTATGAGTTCCAATAGTCTCTTAGTAGAGTTCTTTGGGTCCCCTAAGTAAAGAATCATATCATCTGCAAAGAGGAATAGTTTGACTTCTTCCTTCCCAATTTGTATCCCTTTAGTTTCTTTTTCTTGCCTAATAGCTCTGGCTAAAATTTCCAGTACTATATTGAATAGAAGTGGTGAGAGTGGGCATCCATGTCT